AGGATAGCATGCTCCGCGCTGTTCTGACTAGGAATATGCAGAGGGTCCACCATCTTTAGTGCTGATTTTAGGTGCCCCCGTCACCCCATCTAAAAACGGTCTCGACACGATCCTTACCACCATAAACAGCCCTTCAACAACTCGAGCGGTCACTTCCCACCCTCCTCACCTCCCCCCACCCCGACTCTTTCTCACATCTTTAAAACGGCCGTATAGCAGGGGGAAGGGTAAATATGACCTGAGTAACGCTCTTTTTTTCTGAAGTTTCTGCCAAAACTATAGAAAACCCGCCAAAAATGTCTTCACTCTGCACTGCAAACAATCTCCAAGTTCCTATCACCGCAACGTCCTCCCCTCCACCATTCTGCATTTTCCGAACTCCATCCTCATTTCGAACCTTCAGCGATACATGAAACCAAGATACTACCCTATTCCAGATTACGACCCCTTCACTGAAATTGATGCAGCAGACGGTTGATCCTGGTTGTGCCCAGCATTGACGACCCTACCCACGTGACCACGGTGAACTCCTCTCATACTCCTCTCGTACAGGTTCCCTGGTCCCCTTTTGGCTTTGCCCTTTCTACCCGCAACGGTCCAGGAATAAAAATTTCTAGTTCCTCTTTGGAACTTCGTTTCTTCGCACTTTTTTCAAGGTTTTCAGGTGGTCCAATAAATTGCTTTTCATGCACGATTTCATTATGCTCTATGGTTTTTTTATATTTCAGCTCATGTTTTGTCACCTTCAAAACAGTAAGAAGGAAGAAAGAATAGTTTATCTAGAGAATAACACCGTATCATTATCAGAAGAAGCCAGTGTTGAAGCCATTACCCCACATGTTGAAGCTCATGCTATCATCGAATCCCCAGCTATTTCCGAACATGCCACCTCCGAATGGAAATCCGAATTGTCGTTTCGGTCTGATTAATCTGAAATAGACAAAAGTTATAGACTCACTTAGATGGTATGGTCAGGGTAAGACAGAAAACACTAACAGTCTAGGCTCCCCGCGAACAGCTGGAGTGTAAACCGGCACAGCGCTGATCAGGGCTAAGATGGCGATAAAGCAGAAAAGAGTGAGCGATCGACTCATGGCAGAAAAGCGGCTGTCCAGTAACTTTGTTGACCACTTATATAGAGAAATAATGACACAATTTAACGAACATAGCCCTTGAACAGGTTTTTTGTCCTTTAAGGGTAACGGAGTTCGCGCAAAAAGGTCAATCTCGAGATGAACGCAGAAACAAAGTACCTTCTACGTCGAATAAGAGTAGTGACGATGTCGCTCAGAGAACGAGCTCAAGACCACTTATAGGGCTTTCGAATATCGCGGCTAGGGATAACCCCGCCCACAAATGGGATCGGCCCGCCCCCTTCATCCCTCGTGGTAAAGATTCAAACATCCCACCTAAACTCTTTGAAACGAACTTGCGTGATGGTTGCAGCAAGCCCAGAAATCAAAATCGTCGCACGCTGCTAGAAACGAAAAGTAGGGCGTCCGAGTCCGTTTTTTTCCCACGCTCAGATGAATTTTGTGTAACAATAGAAGTCATTTCCGCAATGCTGTAGAGATCATCTGAATTTCTTTTTCGATAAAGTGTTAGAAGGCCCAGAAACTTTCGGAGCTATCTCTGTTTAGCTCATATTACCCTCTAAGCCAACACCCACAGAAACTCTCGGACATTTTTATTGGAATACAACCGGCATATCGACTCCTGTGCGGAATGTTCGACGGTGACACCATGTGTTCCAATGGACAACGGGTCTACGATCGTCCTGCACACTGTACGTGAAAGCCCTTTTTGACAATTTTCTGTAGGGGAGAGAGACGGCCATGTTGGCCTGGCTACTGTCCGCAGAGTTTACAAGTCATTGCTCGCGTCACCCTAGGCACCACTATCCCACGTTCCCAGGTCGATCACGCGGTGTTGGTCACTTTGGTTATGCTCACCTTGTCCCTCTTAAAGGCATGCCCCAGGATCGCACTGGTGTGGCTCTTGCACACGAATGTGAATGTATCGGGTGCCAAGTGGGCCGGCAGTGAAGAAAAAAGGAAAAGAATCCGTCGAAAACGCTCAGGTTGAGGGCTCACTCACCTTCCTAATTGGCTGTGCTAAAGGAACGAGAGACTAAGCGCGAAGAGGAGAGTATGGGGCGAGAGAGCGCATCAGATGAGAGAGCACCAGACAACGGCCTGATAAGAGAGCTCGTTCGCTGCAGCTCGAGCAGCTTACTTTGCAAGCCCCAAGCGTTCTTGTCGGTCGAATTCCGTGCACGTGAACGCCACATTTGTGATTGTCCCCTAGGGTTCTATACTTCTGACCGAAGAGAAGAGTTCACACGACCTCTGCCTGGGTTGTGCCTTTAAGTGGCCTACGGATAATTAAGAGCAATTGTGCGCCGAAGTGGTTTCACTCAGAGTAGCCACCGGTCGAAGGCGATATTTCCTGCCACGGGTAGGCGGACTAAACCAGAGGACCTTTGCTTTCACTATGGAGTCCACATAAGAGGAGTCGGGGGGCAGCAGGGGAAAAATGATCCCGCTGAAGAATCATGGACGACTTCCGGAACGAAATTGTCAAAAGACTAACTACAGGCCCTTTCATTTTTTAGAAAAGATGCAATTGGCACCAACTCCGCCGGAGCCCGTAAAGACTGTTGTTGATCGACTAGCTTCTCTACTGACCCTGTAGCCGAAACACGTTAAAAAGCGCTATACACTTAAAAGTGTCGCGAAAACTCAACGCTGAAGCAAAACGCATTCCTTATTCTCCAGTCGGTAGAGGCTGGCTAATTGAACGTGTGGCAGTCGCTATCCACAAGTCATTTGGGCTCTGCTTCACCTAAAGGCATATCCCCGCGAGCATATGGGTGGAGCTGCATGGACCACGACGCCCTTCTCATTTGTGAGCCGCTTCTTCGGCGCTATCGCAAGATACGGGGGCATTGTGGTTCAAAATTGCGTAAAACATGCCGTTTTTGTTGGAAACGGAACTAGTTGACAGGGAAGGAGACACTCCAGAATGCAAGGGCGACTTTTGTTTTCTTCGAAGTTTCTGCCCCTTCTAGGCTTAGTCCTAGAGAATATCTCAGTACATTGCGACAGCGCCTTCTCTTCTTTTCCCTAGCGTTAGTCCCCCCTGTAGGGTCCGTAGTCATTGTCAGCCGCAGTCACGTTGTTCTATCGAGGGGCCGTCAGGCATCGGTGAAGTCCTTCTGAGCGGGTGGTGTGCTCCGCTTTCCAATGGAAGATGACAGTGGTGTAGGCGACTCCACCCATGCAATCAGTGTGGTATGTGCCCTTTGACACCACTTGATTGCTGATTGCAGGACGAAGTGAATCAAGTGCTCGTGCTGAAGGAATGGCACAGAATGTATTGGCAAGATGAGTTTCTGGTTTGGAATCCGGCCGATTACGATAATATCACTGAAATTCAAGTACCTCGAAATCTCATCTGGTTGCCGGATGTCACCCGAATCGATCTGTAAGTCGTTCATAACCGTGTGACCTGCTTTTTGCCTCAATCTTCCTTATCAGGCTGGATCAGTACCAGGCAATGAGAGACGATCGAAGCTTCGCTCTGCTCGATCACACCGGCTTTATCCGACATTCTGTGGCTCAAGTGGTGAAAGTGTTCTGTGGCTACAAGATCACAATGTAAGCCTTTATCGATCTCCTAGTTTATAATGACGAAACCATAAGATGTTAGGGTTTTTGTAGTGCATTAGGCAGGGCATTGGGCACCTACAGTACCCCTTGGCCAGGTGAGATGAAGACATTTCTTCGAATTTCATTTGTTTTCGCTACCATGTCTGCTCCAATGAGGGGTATACCAGGGGCGTGAAAATTTGTACCCTCTATTTCGGAAGATGAGATGAGCGTCATGTGCAAACCACACACCACAAGTGGCTGTTTTTTCTTGGCTGTCGTCATTTGTAGTGTGTGTTCTGCACTCGACGCTTCTCGCGTCCCGAAA